AATATAATTAGAAAAATTTGTAAGCTTGGCTTTCATGCCACTACGTTTTCGAATTAAAACATCTAGTTGGGCCATTATTAAATTAAAAGGAAAAAATTATCGAAAGAAATACGACGAAGAAAAAAAAATATAATGTGGGTACTTCACTATTTGGTAATTAGTCGCTCGTAAATGCGTAAGCGTGAAATTGAACAATTATATTAATACAATAGGAAGCCAATTGAAGAGGATTTAGAAGGGAAATATGGAACGAACTCACTTTATCTTCCCTTGTCCACACAGTACTTCCTTTGTCTTGATGTTCGATGTTTGATTCCGACGACCGTTGAGCCGATGTCGCGATAATTTGCTGCACTCCGTTCGCTCCAAACGTATTAAATTAGCGGACTGTATTTTTGTTGATTCTTGAGGCTCGATGGACCATTTGTTTAGGCCAAACACAAGTATTTGGTTGTAATGGTTTAATAAGCGGTAAATACAGAGTTGCAAATAGACAAATTGATCGTTGCGCGTATGCATCGGCGGTCGAAAGCGGAAGTTCAAGTGACGTTTCGTGCCACCGCACGTCGGTTCGCACCGGTAGTGGTGTTGCCCGCACCTCAGGCGCGAACAAATATCATATAACACTACTTAACAACAGATGGAGCTTATAATACTTTTGTATAATATTTGATTACGTGTCATTAGAAAACTTGATAACTGGTATAGAACAAGAAGAAGAAACACGACAGAGATGGATATAGCGAGAAAAAAAAAAAAGAAAACTACTATGTTTTCTTTTTTCTCTGTATATTCTTTTTTTTTTTTAACCGATTGAAGTTGAGTTTAAGTTGACAACACGGTTCGTCACATCACGTGTTCCATTATTTAAAAAAAGATAAAAAATTACATTACACAAAATAATAATAATAATGAAGTCCGCAGTCCAACAAGAGTTGTGACGAGACAGGGACAGCTCGGCCGTATTTTCCTTTTCTGTGACATATGATATACAAGTATGTATACTTTTTGTAAGAAAAAAAAAATCCAACAAAGAGGAGCACAATTTCTTAGTTTACTTAGGTCAAACTATACGACTTACATAGAATTGATGTAAGAAGAAGTAAATTTGCTAAATAAAAGTCCTCGTTGGCGTTTCTATCATCTATGGATGTTTCACAATAACCATGTTATTCTGACTAAAGAAGTCTGTAAAGTAGCCTCCTTTTTCAGGTTTTAGACTATCAGCGTTTTAATAGGTCCAGTAGTAGTAGTTGGGGTAAAACAGACAGACAGTCACTTCCCCATTTTTAATATTAGCAAGGATTATCAGTTATAAAAAAATAAAACTAACTGTATTCATTTTCAAATTAATGTTAAAATGCTGCTAAGGATGGTTACTTTTGGGTAAAATAAAAAAATAAAAAAAATGGTATTTATTTCCAAAAATGACTAGTTATCTTAATATACAATAAATAATAATTAGCAATAGTGGTTTCGATTCATTGGCCGGCGTTCTCCGCCATCCGCCCGATGAATGGTCGGCGCCTGCGTGGCGTGGTGCCGCGTGGCGTGGTGCCGCGTGGTGTGGTGCCGCGTGGCGTGGTGTGGTGCCGCGTGGCGTGGTGCCCGCGTAGAGTCCCTCGTGCTACGTGTATACGAGCACAAACAGCACTATAAGGAAGCCGGACGCCAAGCAAATGATAAGACCGATTTTCTTCTGAAAGAAATAGAAATTTATTTATATTAATAGTGTTTTATTTGTCAACGATGTTTGCAGCAAAAACGGTTTTAGAAAGTAATATAAATAACAAAATAAAACAAATTTAACTGAAACTTTAAAATATTTAAAGTTTAAGTGAAATTTCCATGCTTGTGTATTATAAATAGGAATAGCTGATGAAGAAGTTGTATTATATAATAATTCCATGACATGACATTAATACAACATAACATATTTGTTGGATGAACTTTACCGGGTAAAGGTTGACAAGAAAAAAAAAAAAAAACAAAAAACGCGGAAAGTTATAAGTAAATTTTTATTAGGATTGTAACGGAGGGCTTCTTAGCGGAAGCGGAGGTGAAGTTCTGTTACAACCCTAATTATTACAATGAGCAAATACTCCGCGGTAGGAACTGTATCGCAGTCGAAGGTCAGAGGTGGAAAGAGCAATGAGTAGGACGAGCGAGGGGGGTGCTGACCTTGCGGGCGCGCCGGCGGCCGACGGAGCCGCGCAGTAGCTCCTGGCCGCCGCTCTCCACGTGCTCGCTAGCTTGCAGCGCGAAGTACTCCACGCTGTCGATTTGTTCTTGCTAAAAGTATTACATTGCAAAGATCATCATACATTTCTACAATCGGAAGTCGCTTAAAAGTGACCAATTGGTGACTTCTGGCGAGTGTTTTCTTTTCTTCCTTGTATTTCATCCCCCTCAAGGGATAACATAGATAAAGTCTTGTCGATATTCGTAAAATCTCATAATGTTGACAATGATAACTTTGTAACAAAAAAAAGAAAGATTTTGTCACATATTTCTGAGTATTTTGGAATTTATCAGATAGTACACGTGGGATCAGATTACAAAATCGACGACCAAAATAATAAGCTATGAAGAGTCTGCGACCGAAGGCTAGGCTAGTGTTGTGCTCTGAGCTAAGCTGATAGGTATGTATGTGAGACCTGTTGCGCGACGAGGTGCGATAGCTGCACGAAGAGGTCGCGCACCTCGCGCAGCGCCGCCTCTGCACGCGCCAGCTCGCCGCGCCGAGCCTCCGCATCCCGCAGCGCGCGCCGCGCCTCCGCCGTCTGCGCGCGCACCTGCACACACGTAGTCACACCGCACTCAGCAGCCAGCAGCCAACAGCCAACAGTCTCCGCTACGTCGCCGCCACGCACAGCTCTAACTCAGCACAAGTAACTCGACTTGCCTCTTGTGTTTGTCATGTATATCGGCAATGTCCTAACTCTTAGTCTTAATCAACATTTTTTTAATTTTTCAGCTGCAACAAATGCAGTTGCGGTATCAGTTTTGGACATTACGGGGTCTTAATTACAACACGTACAACTTGTGCGGCGTGACGTAGTTATAGTACTGAATGTATACCAGTTATATTATAACATTAGCAATGAATAAAACAAAATCAAATATCTAATTCACATGAACACTCTGTGTGTTTTTGTATTTGTCAGATAATTCATTCCGCATGGTTTATATTTATGTATGTCACCGACAAAGGGCATCCTTTTTTTTGTTTTTTGCCCCAACAAATCATAAACACTCGGCAAATTGCGATTTGATGCAGAATAGAATAGGCGCTGCGCTGTTGGGGCGCCACAGAGATCCTCTTACTTACGTTGTCGACGAACAGCGCTACGTTGTTAGAGTCGAGTAGCTGCTCGCATTCCTCTTCCGATAAGGTAAGGTTTGCTGTAATTCATAAGTTATTAAAAAAAAGGGAAGTTAGTGCTGTCACGCAGTCAGAGTGTTGAGAAGTATTGCATCAGTGGTGCATTGTATCGGAGGTGGGTGGAGAGGGGGGAGGAGGTCGACGACCGCGGCGTTCAAGTTTTGGTAATTAGCACAATTTGATCTAACAATACAACGGTACTAAAATGAGTAATGCGATCTAGATCTATCATTCCCGTTACATAATGCGCTACTTTATGAAAATTTAAATTGCATGTCATCCACATGATTTATATATCAGTTTCAATGCAACGTAAAGTATTATACAACTTTAAGCGAAGTGCAAATAGTTCCATTAAAACGTTTATTTTATTAAAACTTTTCAGGGCGACAAACACTGTCTCCTCAGAACATAAAACGTTGCAGTACTGGAGCCGCTGTCCCTTATTTCTTATATTATGTAAATAAATAAATAAATTTCAAAATGATTAATTTTGAAACATACTGAGCTTGATCTGTTCATGCAACAGCCGCGCGCGGTCGTCACGCAGGAGCTGCAGCAGCTGAGCGTGCTCAGCCAGCGCGGCAGCGCAGCGTCTGCGCGCGCACGCGTACTGCAGCCGGGCCATGCGGCACGCCGCGCCCGCCGCACCGGCAGCACCCACCGCCTCGCCAGCGCGCCCCGCCAGCTGCCGCAGTGCACCGCACAGCTTGAGGCCTGCCGCGTGCGCGCGCGTCACCGCCGCGTCCAACTGCTCCTGCACATCTGCAAAATGCACGCCACACACTTTTTATCAGCGGTAGAGCAAGCTTTAACATCTTCGCACGAATTGGCCCGGGTCGCCAGGTGAAATACCACGACACACAGAAGACAGGCGTGAAGTGGAAGCAATTCTGCGTTTCGTCTGATGAGTGTGCGTCCCGGAGGCCTAATTTAGTCCTCTTTTCCTTCTCACTCGTTGTCTTATAAGGAGAGGATGGGAAGTGAAAGTGGACTTTCCGGATGAGAGGATGCATAGAAAGGGAAAATATTTTCTTTCTGTGCAAAAAAAAACATAACTTAACATAAAAGTGATGAAGAAGCTTCTCAGTTGTCGGAATCACAATGTGTCTTAATTCGATGGAACACATATTATCATATTCATGAGAAACGCTCCTGAACAAACAACCACCTGATTAAAACCGGTGATGACTACACCATGAATAAAGTGACAATGACACGTAATTAAATCGCATAGCGTTGACGAATTTTATTAACTACGGTCGGCTAGCGGTCGCTCGCCACTTCCGCTATGTGCAATTTAAAAAAAAGAACATTTGCCTAAGTCATTTCCGAAGAATAACATATCTTCCTGTAAAAGTTCCGTCAAAATCTATCCAGCCTGTTCGGAGATTATTCGGAACAAGCGCGTGTTTGCGGACAAACAGACAGACAATAATTTTCTCATAATGAACATCGCAAATATACATCGTTTTCGCGAAATGTGATCTTTTTTTCATGTTTCATACAGAATCCAATTGAAAACGTGTCACTACTCGTATAATGATGTAACATAAGGATTTATTAGAGAGTGCGATGTCAATGCTAAAGTTTACACAATATATTAGAGCAGCGGGCGCGAGGCCACGGCGCGCGCGGATGCGACAGCGACAGCGACAGCTGCCTGCCAACAGGTAGGTATACAATCACACAATATACAGGTTCACGTACGCTTGTTGGTGTGGTAGGTGGGGTCGGAGTGCAGGCGGCGGATGAGCTGCGAGTCGCCGCGCACTTCCTCTATCCACCGCGATATCGCCTCCACCTGCAACGTCACCACACCGTACGGTCAACGAGGACCCGACTCGCTTCTCCTTCACATCAGGTGCGCACATCACCGAAACGCTTTAGATAACATCTAATTGGCGCATCACCTAACTACCCCCCCCACTCCCACCACCACCGCACCCTCCCACTTTAATATAATACCTTATATTACTTCTTACTTTTATTGTAAATGCGAATGTTACGATGGACGGACGCTGCATGAATGATGTTGAAATTTTTTAAAGAAAGAACATATTCTACAATAACACATAGGCTACTAATTAACTTCTTTTGCTTCCGCGAGGACGGAGTCTTGGACGATGGCTAGTACTACATAATGTTTTCCTGTACACCACTGCGTGTCTTGTAAGGAGGTTAAATTGGTAAAAAGAGGACTAGAATCATCTGTGAGGGTCGCAACTCTACTTTATACAAGGTGTGTGACTGCAAGAGTATGGAACTCACCTCCTGCAGTAGATCGGCGATGTCGCGCGGCAGCTCTAGCACAGGCGCCGGCGCTCCGCTCTCTGCGGGTCCGGCAACCTTAAAATACAGTTCATTTCTAAATACGAAATACTGTTAAACTTTACAATTACATACGAGTTATAAGTACATACAACAATAAACTAGCGACCCTTCTTCTTGCACGTCTTCACGCACCATACATACATACATACAAAAACAAAAAAAGATTTGACAGATAATATTATGTCAAGGACATATTTTACATATTACATACTCGTATATTTATGTGCATAATCTGTTTGTACGTTTGCGTCTGTATTTATGTGTATAATCTGTTTGTACGTTTGCGTCTGTATTTTTGTCAGGTCTTGTAACAGTGTTTTATGAATTCTCGTCTACTATACCATTTTAGAATTTGAGTCGTATGTTTTTTGTAGGATCTATTGTAGATACACGAGCCGTCTGAGTGCTTCCAGATCTTGAAGTCTTAGGGTTGCAGGTGCATAGTCGGTATCTCTGAGCACTACTAGTGCAGCCCTGAGTTAGACAACAGGCCAGTGTTAATTCGCGCGAGTAAATCTGAAGTTGGGCTAGTGATATAGCAAAGCGACCGGGCCGCGTTTGGATTTCACGTGGAGATCCCTTGCCCCCCTCGCATGGCGTCGCTGTTGGGGGGAGGGGGGGGCGAGTCGTTGCAATCACAACATAAATTGACTGTCTTCCCTCGGTTAGATAAGTATACGTTAGGCATTTCGGCATGTTAAAAAAAATAATTGTAAAGTGAAAATAGTTTTTCGCGAAAATCAGAGTTTTTATTTCTTCGATGATTTGTTACCAATTTTATCTGGTACTTATTTCGATGCAATCGTTTGATATCGCGTACCTCGTTTAAATGCCAGTTTCAGCTTTTCACTGTCCAAGTTAGGGCCTCCTAAGATAAGACATAAATTTTTTGTGCAAAAGGAGACGTTATGTAGGTTTGTATGTATAACGACAGTTTAAGTGAGATCTGTGTGATGGCTGTGTCGGTTAACCAAATCAAGAAGTGCCGGAGCTTTATTATTGATTATAAAATGGTTATGGATGCGTCCAGATAAGTTTTCATTATTTTTTTTAATTGCTGAAGCGGCCGATGAGCGCACTCGCGGCGGGCGACAGCAGGGGGGGGGGTAGCGGAGGCGCAGTCGCACTCATGCGCATGTTATTGAAGCGCTAGCGTTCGCGCCAGCTCACACACATACGCACACACACTCACACGTGTGGCACAATAATAATGACAGTCAGCACCTGACCTACTGATACCGCTTTGACGACATATTACTTGAATTAACGTTTATTTTAAATCGGCCGGAGAGTTAAGTGCAGTTGCAAATGTCAGTATTTCCTTTTTTATGTGTTATGATATGCTCTAAATATTATAGTGGTTCGTAATGATGCAAACACAATACTGTTTATAGATATTTTAAAGCTAATAAGCATGAATAGTAAATGCACATGTTTAGGTCGGAACGTGGCGTCAATATGCACGGCCGAGACGGCACTCACCTTGCGCAGCTCGTCCAGGCGGTCCTTGCTCCTCATGGCAGTGCGCCGCTCACCGCTCGACCGCCCGCTGCCCCGTGCTCCTCGCGGCGCACCTAGCTGTGTTGCTAGAGGAGGGGGCGCGGGGCGTGGGGCGCTCGCCGACGTATCTTATCTCGCACCGATAGCGCCGCTGATACGCCGCGCGCGCTTCAAGATGAGGAACGGTGCGAATGCGAGTGCGAGTGCGAGGTGAGCGCGCGCTGGCCGTCGCCGCGATGCGATAACGCGATACTGATAACCGACAGCAGCGGACAGCGACTCGACAACGCAGCGTGCGGCGCCGGCGGGGAGCGCACTCGCGCCCCGACCCCCTCGACCGTCCGAGTCAGCCCGCCGCCGCCGCCGCCGCCGCTGCTGCCGCGCCGCTCTTCACACCACGCACATCATTCGTAGCCCGGAATTTGCAAATATAGGGCAAGGCAATAAAGTTATATCCATAAAATGTTAATTAATGTCCAAGTGTAAAATTGGAGTTTAAATATTGGTTTTTCGTTTATTAGAAGACCCAGACACCTACTCAAATTTTATTATTTTTTTAAAGAGATAGATTTGGTAGATTTAATATTAACATTCTTATATTTTAGGTAAGCCTGGACGCGCTTTCATATTGTTGTTAAAAGTTTGCGCAGTTAACTTGTAACAGCGACATCTCGTGGTGAGGTTTATAAATAACACACTCAGTGGTTGTGCGGTTGAAGTATTTGACGTATGCCTGCAGATGGCGCTTTGCTTTGCTGATATTACGAGTACATATATCTTACTATTATAATATTACTATTAAATATGAATGTATGCGCAATATAAACTTGATGATGTAACTTATACATCATGCAATTATATATTTACGTTACGTGTAACAAAAAGAAACATTTTCTTAATTTGTTGTCTGCCTGTCAAGACCATGTTTGTTGTAGCTAATCACAATGGCTGATGTGTGAGGGTGTAATGTAGGCTTATATTTTGTGCTCTGCGCGATTCTTGATTGTTGAATGAAATTTTTTGTACATTTTGAAAACTTTTAAATTCCACTCGAACTAAGTAGTGAAAAACAGTCAGTGAGTCCGCAATAAATGTGCATTAACTATATAAATAAACATTAAATAAAGCTGTGACCTGCTAATTTAGTTGTTGAGTCGCAGCTCAACGGTTCAAGATCATGTGGCTGGGACTATTGAACCGGTTTCGAGCTGACTCACAGATAGCTAATGATCAACGATGAGGCGCCGATTGTTTCATGATTGTTCTATTTCATATATAATGTATAGTAATATTAATAAATATTTAAATATTCAGTAATATTAATATGTAACAGTGGTAGTTCGCCCGATGAAATACCAGGAACACACAGAAGACAGGCGTGAAGTTGAGGCAATTCCGCGTGCAGTCTGATGAGTGTGCGTCCCGGAGGCCTAATTTAATCCTCTTTCCCTTTTTCTTATAAGGAAAGGATGGGAAGTGGAAGTGGCCTTCCGGATGAGAGAATCCATGGGAAGGGAAGATATTTTCTTTCTGTGCATCCTTTCCGCCGTCGATTAAAGGTAGGCAACGCATATACAATTGCGTATGTCTATGGGCAACGGTAACTTCGCTGTTTCAGCGTATTCAGGTGGCCGCTCGCTCCTTTGCCACCTTACTATATGTACGTATATCCTAGCTAACAGTATGTCTATAACGTAACTAACTGTCTGACTCGTTTTCGTACAAAACCTACTGAACCGATTTAAATCAAATTTAGTACATAACAAACAGTATACTCGTATAGTCTAAAACCTGAGAAAGGATATTGGCTTATTTTTTATGCGAAAAAGGTTATTAAGGAGTGATAAATAGTGGTAGTGGAATCCACACTTGAATATTTTGATTGCAATTGAACCCGGATTGTGGCCATGTTAATTTTATTTGCTTCACGTATTAGACATCAGAAAGTGTAAAAGTATAAAAACAGTAAAATGTTTTTCAATCTCCTGTTGATTTTGTCCTGTTGTTCGCGTCTTACCCAGACGTTTTGTATGCGTTAATATTAATACATATTGTCATCCCTTACATTCTTTTTGGCAACAGCAGAGACAACAATATGTATAATACAAGCGCTGCAAATGCCGAGTGCCGCTCGAGTGCCGTGCCGAAGAGCGCACCTCCTCCTCCTAATCCTGCTTCTCCGTGCAAGAGAGGCGCATCGCATCAACACATCATAACATCTGATTTGGAAGCAGTTATCACATAACAATACGTCCCGGTCCAGTCCTGGGCTCCTTGTTGCTCGCAAGTTGCGCTCGCAACCGAACTAAACATTAAATGAAAGGCAGTTTCATCTATTATGTTTTATTGTAACACATAGATAGTTTTCTACACATCCTTACATACGCGTGATGCGCCGAGTGATATGAGCTCTGTACAGGCCGCGGCCGAACATAAATTAAATTCACATAATATAAACTTAGTCACTAGGGCCGAAGCCGATATACACCTATGTACAATATTGCAGTCCGGCGCCGGGCGCCGGGCACCGGGCTCCGGGCTCCGGGCGGCTATTTACAAAGACAGGATATGTGCGGGGTATCAGTCGCGCGGGGGCGCGCGCGCTAACAGCGCCAGCGGCTGCAGCGTCGCCGCTTGCATCGCGTGC